TAGGTACTGTCTAACTGTTTAATTCTATAGGCCGTAGCACCTGGCAGTAGAAACTTTCTGGGTAGGGTTTGTTTGGACAGACTTGCGGCCTCAACCCCCTGATGACGCAGGCTGCCTGACAAATTTCTAGGATGAGATCCTTCGCTGTCCATTCTCTTTTTAACTTCCTTTAGCCTTGCCCCATATCTGCAGGCTGTTTTGCCATAGATTATTTGCTATATGTCCTCTTCTTCTGGGCTAGGAGCCGGTCATAGCCTGCCTGTTACCTTGGGTGGCTATTGCTAGGGAAGGCATCACTGTTTTACTTTAATTCAATCTATATATATATATAAAGTTTAAAATATGGACAGAACAGTGTCCATATTACGACCAGTTTGCAGTATGGACATTAAATCATTACTATTCGTAATTAGTCCATACTAATTACGAACAGATGGCAACTCTAATTCCATCCTTTTCCCGTCGGCGTTTGCATTTCATCCCGTCCCGTGCAGTGCTCTAACTCGGGATGCAACGTGGAGGGACGTGATCCGGGACCCTGGTCGCCTCAGTTCCAACTGTTCCGTCGCGGGGTTGGGTGTGGTCTGCTGTCTGCTGTCGGCTCGTTCGGCCGTGCTCGAAATGAGGCCTGGCCGGGACTTGCGCTTCTGTGCTGCACGAGAACAGCTTTTTATGTCTGTTTGGAACTCTATGGGGTGAGACGAAACACCGAAATCGCGGTCACGGTATCGATGATAACCTGGGGGGGGGGGGGGGGGGGGGGGGGGGAGGGTGTACACGCCCTGGGGACNGGGGGGGGGGGGGGGGGGGGGGGGGGGGGGGGGGAGAGCCATTAGAGGGAGTCGGTTCGGTGAGGCCTTCGTTTGCGCTGTTTAGCTAGAGTAATTTTATTTCCTTCCGAAACTATAACTTGTATCCTTCAAAATTTATAAATGAAGTCCCTGTAATCTCCCGTGAAATATTTAAGGTGTTTGCAAACTTACTTGTGGTTTCAATAGGTAACATCTCCACCTGCAATAAAAACAATTTTAATCTGCAACAAGGATCACACCCGAAAGTTCGTTTCCGTGGGTGAATGCAGATCCAAGCTTTAACGCGTGAAAAGTGAATCACCCAGGACAGCCATACGCGAATTTTTACATGGGCGAACCGCCGCCAGGTGTGAATGCAAACAGGGCATTTCAGGAAATGCAAAAGTCGTTCATATACATTTGGCTATTTGCCAAATATTTACTTTTGGCCACTTGGACCCGGTTCACTGGGAACGCGGTTCGGCGTTCATTTACAAAGGCTTGAGAAATTATCGAAATACCTGCATGACAGTCGGAGATACGTTGGCCCGTTGAAACCACAAACTGACTTTGCGGATGCAGTTGAGATATCTGTCAGGCCGACGAATAATAAACATTTGCATCTCTCCGTCTTTCATGGTGGTAATTGGTCCCGGTGTGCGCAGAGTGCATCTGCCGCATAGAACCTTGGGATCAGTGACGTCGGTCCGATCGAGCCAAAGGTCCGTTCTCGGCTTTTTTTTTTTATTATTCTCGATAGAAGCGATAAGAACTGCGTGTGAAGCAGAAAGAAGAAAGCTGGAACGGAGTAGTCGCTCCAACCGATTATCGCTCGTCGTTGCCCCATAGCCTCCCGCTGCAGCGCGCATGCGCGATCGCTCCACGCCTGCATCCATTTAGTGCGTGCCAGAGCGCGGAAATGCGTCTATTGCGAGTTAGGATCGGACGAGGAAGGAAAGAAGGATGTCTCGCTTAAGGTTCGACGTGGATCGCTCGGCAGGGAAAAACTTCCGCGTGCCTCGATCAGATTTTTCGAATTCTTCTCGCCTTTCCCTCGAATGTTTCGAGTCGTCCAAGTTCCACCGTACCTGTCGACTGCACGGGTCGACAGCGCGATCCAAATCCGGATCTGCAGTCGCATTTTCTGACATTTGGCACTTTGCCAAGCATCTTTCGCTAGGTTCCACGTGACGTGTCGTCTGAGGTGTCGTCGGGTGGTCGGTGAGGTCGGTTTCTTCCAAACTCTCTCCCGCCGACGTGATAATTCTCTCTATTATGGAATGGAAACGGCAAAGCGCTACCGGTTCCCTCATTATTATATGTTAATATTAATTTACCGAAAGTGTGAGATCGATCTGGAACCACCAATAGCCATCGCAGCTCGACGCAGGAAGAAACGATTACAGCTCACCTAGAAATCGAGGATTCACGAAGCATCGCGCGATCGCAGTTGGCTGGATCCGTGTCTGTTTATTTATTTATTTATTTTTTGGTGCTTTGTGCGAATTCGAGTCGAGTCCGTTCTGTTTTTTTTTTTTTCGGATCCGATTCGTAGTGGTTCAAACAGGCTGGATTTTATATTTACTTCGGTGCGTGCTTCGTTGCACCCTTCACTTCCAGAAGAGACCCAGCCTCCCCACAGCCTCCCCACAGGCCCAGCTTAACTCCCAGTCCATACGCTCCAATTGGTAACTCGATCGCCGAAGAAACTGGCCAGACGGATCGTTGAGACCTTGATTTCCATGCTTCCATCCCCATTGAGTCCATGTTTCCATCTCTGCTTCGATAGGGTACCACGCTGTCGCGCAATGGTGTCGCTGATCCAAGGCATACGTCGCCTTTTCCCGATTCATGCCATAAATATATTCATATTCTTCATATATATATATATATATATAATACACGGCTGTGTAAAAGTTCTCGTACGCTTTCTTCTCTTTCTCTTACACTTATTTTTTATTTTATAAAGTTAAAGTTTTGATAAAACCTTAACCTCGGCTTGTTAGTTGAATAATTATGTACATAGAACAGCATGAGAAAAGATAAATGAATCAAATTCTACATCAGAATCGCCAAACCCGTTGATTAGTGAAAAAAAAATAGATTTTCAAAGTGTACGGGAACTTTTGCACAACCCTGTATATGCATCTAGTTCATTTCATCCAGAGATTCAAACTGCAACTGCAAAATTCTTCCGTTTTCTCCATCGTGACGATTTCACGACCCCGTTCGGCATTACCTCGTTGAGTACTGAATCAGGAACTGAATCAGTACGTGGTTGATCAGTCCAGCACATCCAGATTATCGGCCGTACCGATTCGGGAAAATTTTGGAATTCCAAGTCGAGAGAGGAACAGATTCCATCTCTGTTCTCAAGCACGAAGTAGCCCGATGCATAGAATGAAAGCCTCTAAAGACCAACCAGATGAATCCGGCTCTACTCAAATAAGTCGCATCGATTCGGGACGAAAGTCATGTTTACATAGGGCCAGGGAAAAGGGTCCAAGAGCTTCCGATACGATTTGCCAGGACATTTTTCTCTAGGACTCGAGAACGGACATCAATTGGCACCAAAAGGCATCAACTGGAGTGAACGATGGCTTAGGCTGGCTTAGGATGGCTTAGGATGAGTCAAGCTCTCTGTTTGGTTCGGTCTGCTTGGTTTTCGTGAAGAACGATTTCAGTAATAGCCGGTGATGTTCATGGTAGCGTTACTCGTTCTTTTTTTAATACAAAAAAACTATTAATATTTTACGTGCCCAGCGATTAGGGGTTGGATTAATCGGGTTCCTTTCAGTCGGCGACGCGGAGGCCCCATTCACTTCTCGAATGGGCGAGGCTAGAGGCTCTTTTGTCGGTAGGAGCTCCTCTGAGCGAGACGGGATGACAGTAACTTGATAGATGACAGTTGCAGACATGCTTCCTCGTTAGGCGACTCGGGGCAAGGGCCCCCTAAAGACTTTAGTGAGCTTTCACCGACCGAGCCCATGAAAGATTTGCTTTTCATCGCGCGCCGGAGGGGACGAAGGAAGGGCACTGGGGGAGGGGACGATGAAGGTGTCCTTGGGTCTGCGGACGCAGTCCCCCCTCATCCTTGGATGTGGTTGTGACGTGACGTGAGAGACCCCTTAGGCGCCCACCGGGATCTCTCGGCGAGATTCTCTCTGCTCGGCGGGTCGGGTGAGAGCGGGGTGGGAGGCTGAAGGGGATCCAGTTCCATGCATCGATCGGTTAACCCGTTGACTACACGTGACGCATCTCTGTGCGTCATGACTCGCCGTGTCTCTGATACACGTGAGGACTCAGTATGCGTCATGAAAATGCCAAAATCCTCCAAATTTCAGCTGTATCACGTCTGCATAGTTGCAGCTGCTCCACACATGCGTCCGTTGAAAAAATACAACGGCCCGTAAAACTTGTATGATGGGCTTATACAATTGTGTTATGAAACAAATTTTTAAATGTATGCATTTTCGCTATTTTCTGGTGTATCAGAGGTACGGCGCCCTCAAAATGGTATGTAGTCAAGCAATTAAAAAGAACAGTTGGGCAATTCCTGTCGGTGTAGGTGCGAGAATGATACGAACAGAGGGATTCGAGGGGCCCGATATTTGATTAAATATACTCTGACTTCTTTTAAGATAACCCCGCTTGGCTAGATGCTTCCAGCTGGATCTTGCAAATGGATTGTGCAGTGATAGGTCATTATGAACAGGTTAAGGGTGAAATTACTCCTGGTCCACTGCATGAACCTGAAGAGAGACTCAAGCAACACCCAATCGGAAATGGAAAATAAATCAGTTAAAGCGAACAACAGGATTCGATGAGGTCACTCTTAATCCGGGAAGAACTTAGTCCTGTTTGTTCCCTCTTCTTCCCGGAAAAGCAGGTTTAAACAAAAGAATGGCTGGGCCTTGACAGGGTCTAAGAAATGGCTCCTCATTAATGGCTCGTGCTGCTTGTCCTCTCTGGGATTGGACAAACTCAGCATAAATTATACCGTGATTTGAAAAGGAGGGAGAGAGGGAGGGCAAAAAAAGGGCGAGAACATTAAGCAGAACGAGAGGGTATAGACAAAGGACAGATAAAGGATAGAGGAAAGGACAAAGAAACGAGACAGAGCAGCTGGTTGTCAGCTGTCCGAGAGCTATCGAAGTCCAAGATCAGCTTGGGAGGGGAGGATGCCTCTGATCCATGTCCCCTGGGAGCCCCCACCGAAAGTCTCAACGGTCGAGAAGGTCACCGAGCGAATGCTGAGTAAGGAGTACGTATGGACGGTGGATGCAGGGCAGTTTGCATAGTGGATGTAAGGCAGTCTGCATAATGGATGTAAGGCAGGAAATTGTGGTGGAGGAGACTGTGGGCCCCAAGCAGCACGCAGGGCTCCGGAGCGCGACATCCACAGGTATCTCGTGGGGTCGTTGGTGTTCCACGGGTGTTCTACGGGTGTTCCGTGGTGGTGCAAGTATGAAAAGGATTGCGTGAGAGAGGTTTGAGCTGGAGAGATGGGAGAGAAGCATTGCGGAGTGTAATTTTTAAACTTTTTTATGTGACTGGGAAGAGAAAATCCCCTCAGCCGAACCGATCGTCCTCAGGCGAATTATTGTGGTTTGTGCTGTATGCCCCCAGACCGGCAGAGATGCCGAGAATAGATATGGGTCCAGAATTTTTATTTTCTTTTCTATTTTTACTGAGGGTAAATACATGCTTGGGAAGTCGGCGATATCCGAGATCCTGCGGATGTCGATATAATAATATTAAGCAACGTTTGTTAGCATGCCTACGTGACTACCTGTCCGTCCGCCCATTAGAGACCTACACGGGCCGCTTTTTCCAAGCCCGACCGAACGCGCTTGACGGCGAATTCTGCGGGTCGAGTCGGGGCGATCGGGCTGGCCTGCTGCCCATCGCCCGGATTTAATGTGATCTAGTACGAGTTATGACTTGCATCGCTCTAAAAGAGTGACATGCACTCGTTCGTAGGACTCGCGCGAACCCTACTTAGCCAATTTTTATGTGATTCACTGGTGGGGCGACTGATGACAGGAGACGAACAAAAATTGAAGCCGAGCCAGCTGCGTCGATAGACACTGCATTGAAAGGTGTCGGGAGAGAGAAAAAAGGGCATGCCAACTTTTTATTCCCTCTAGGATTTTTTTTTTTTTTCCCCAGTTGGCCTTGTCTTATCCCGAGATCGGGATCCTCATAAAACATTCCCACAGGCCTCTAAACCCCAACCAGCCAAAGATGGGAGGCAAGGGCAATTCGGGAGGCAAGGGCAATTCGGGAGGCAAGGACATGGTGCTGCGGCCGCTCGCCGTTCTCTCCGCGCTGTCGTGCCTCGCTGTCATCCACGGACATCCCGGAGCGACAGGAGGGAGGCCAGTGACGAACCTCACCATCGACATCCGGATGCCTGAAGCACGTCCTAACGAGGTCAGCTCCCGACTCCTCTTCACCAAAAATTGCCAAGGCCCTCTGTGAGCGAACCTTGGTGATTTTCATATTTGATTTAGTATTATTTTACTATATTATATTCTCGTATTATATTTTATTATATATTTATTTTTTATTTCATTATATTATACTATATTTACATTATTTATTTATTTACTTATTTAAAGGAAGATGCATATCTGTGCACGTCCTGGCTGTCAGAGCTGGATGACACAGTCTACATAACGAAGTTCGAGCCCCTCGCCAGGGCGGACGTCGTGCACCACATGCTCGTCTTCCTCTGCTCTCACGCCGACTCCCCCGGAACAAAATGGTGCCGGTCGGAACGACTCTTCCTCACCGCATCGCATTATTATATATTATCATTATTTATCGTCTCAGGGACTGCCGGCACCACGGGACCTGCAGCGATTCGCGGATCCTGTTCGCGTGGGCCAAAAACGCCCCCGCCCTCTCGCTCCCCGCCGACGTCGGCTTCCGCGTCGACCGCGGCTCCTACGTCACCGTGCAGGTTCACTACGCCAAGGCGTTTTCGTCCGGCGAGCCGCCTGACAACAGTGGCATTCGGCTCCATGTCAGCTACGAGAAGTGAGGAAGTTTATGTGATATTCCAAATGTTGCTGTGCCTACTTGCAGTATACATTTATGAAAATAAATTAAATTGCAATTATAATTTTAATTTAAATGTAAATTAATTATTTTTCTTGCATTCATAAATATGCATGTGAATGTTATTGTTTGGGTCTATTAAAAAAAACTGCTTGCTTCTCTTCCCCAGACCCAAAAACGTTGCAGGAATATACTTGATGGTGGCTTCAGACATCCGAATCCCTCCGAACACAGACAGTGAGCGCCGATTTACTAAGTTCTTCATGTAAAGCAATTGAAATTAGCTAATTTTGGGGGTGGCGTTGCAGACGTGCACTCGGACATCAGCTGTTTTTCCAAGTCGACCGCCCCGATCTACGTGTTCGGCTGGCGGACGCACGCGCATGACCTCGGCAAGGTCATCACGGGTTATCTGTACAACGACACGGTGAGTTTCGCCGGTGAAGGTCGAGGTTTCCGCCGCGAACGCGACTGAGGATTCTCGCGTTTAGACGCACGAGTTCCGCGAATTCGCGAGGGGGAACCCGCAGTGGCCGCAAGCGTTCTACCCGACGGAGAAGCCGCTGGAGATCACGGCCGACGACGTGATCGTCGCGAGATGCACGTACAACTCCGTCGGCCGGAACCGCTGGACCCATGTCGGTGCGTGTCGTTCCCGCATTCAAAAGTGTCGCTCGAGGCCGAAATTGAGGGCTTAACTCCCTTCCAGGCATGACCCACAAGGACGAGATGTGCAACCTGTACTTGATGTACTACACGGATGCCAGAAGCGGAAAGTCGTTTCTTAGCTGCGCCGACAAGGAGTTCCAGCTCGCTGCGCCCATCCCGCCCGACTCGGACGACCCTCCGCCTCGTAATCCGGCCTTAGAGGAGCTTGCAAAGGGCAAGGGCAAGTAAAGGTCGTTCTTTCATCGGCCTGCAACAAGTTTAATTTTGGAAATATTTTCTCAAGTTTCAAGAATAGCTTTTGTCGAGAGGCATTTACGGACATTTCTCAAATGGTAATGTCCATTTTCAAAACGTTTTATTGACGATTTTTCACAATTCTACAGGACGTTCCAACATCAAAACTGACAAAACTGACAAACTCCCTGACAAAACTGACAATTCCACCGTTTCCGCTTCGTCGTTGTTATTTGCGAGAATGTGGTGCCGTTGAACGTGAATAAAATTGCCGCAGGTCATTTCAGGTTTTCTCCGCTTCAGAGGTTGTGTCGTCGAAGGTCGACACCGTCGTCGGCCGACGACTTTTCGGTCGTTCATGACTTCACGTTTCCATTCGGCGAGTGGACTCGGGAATTTGGAGGAAAAACGCGATAGTAATGCACGAAACTTACTGAGAAAACTACCAAAAATAAATTTAAAATAAAATATGGAGCTATTCTCTTTTCGTATTCGATTTGGGTCTCGGTTTGGTTTCAGTTAATTAATTTTTTAAAATGAAATTATAAAATTCAAAATGAGTTTCATCTTGTTGTGTGAGAGGGGTTCTGGGGGGGGGGGGCTTCAGGGGGCAGTGTCCTGCCATGTGGGGGGCTTGGAGTCGGTTTAACTCTTTGACCGGCAAGTTTCGCAGACGCCTTCCTTACGGGAGCCAGTAACATTTTACGGCCATGCCAGTCAAAGGGCCTCGTTCATGCGAGCGTCTGGTTCGTCTGTTTTGCTTATTATTATTATTATTATTATTATTATTATTTAGCTTACATCAGGCCCGTGTTCGAGGGCGGCCTCTGTCTCACTGCAAAATTTCTTCTCATCCTGAAACGAACAGGAACGAGGAGAAGCAGCAACAAAGGCGAAGGATCCGCACGACTTCGATCGGAACCCTGAAGGACAAGGGAGAGTTAATTACATTAATGGCTGTAATTGAGTTATTCGCTTCCGTGCGGTAATTAGTGAGTGCCGTCAGGGAACCCGGGAGATGCCGGTACCGTTATGAGAAGTGCCTCGGGAAAGTACCGAATGTCGTACCGATCGTTAAGAAGGGGGAAAAGAGCGAGCCGGCTGATTACGGGTGAGTCTCGGGGGATTATGGGATTGCATCTCGGGGATTAAGGGATTACATCGTTACGTGAGGGGATCATCCTGGACTCTCGGCATGGCTTTTGAAGGCGGCAGAATCGTCTCGCCAACTTGCTCGCGTTTTTCGATCGGGTTACGGAGGGATTAGCGGAATCCCGTGGATTACGGATTAATACGGTAAATGGAGAAGTGTCGAGAGATCGAGTCAAAATCGGAAAGTTTGCCGACGACGCCAAAAATAGGTTTATCCGTCAGGGTCGCACTCGCAGGCGTCGATAGCTAAAAACGATAATAAAAATGTAAAAAATAATAATAAATAATAATAAATAATAACATCATTATCGCTTATTGCTGCTGGGATTCTCGTAGCATCGCATTCAATTTTAAAAGGCCGACAAATAAATGCGAACTAACGGCGCTCGAGAGGGTTCAGAGGCGGGTCACCAAGTGGGCTTAATCCATTTAATACCTAATCCAGACACTTAAGACTTAATCCAGGCATTAAGGGAATCGACAGCCGTGGTAGGTTTCAGAGGAGGTTTGATGCATCAGAGGAGGTTTGATGCATCAGAGGAGGTTTGATGCATCAGAGGAGGTTTGATGCATCAGAGGAGGTTTGATGCATCAGAGGAGGTTTGATGCATCAGAGGAGGTTT